GCACTCCTCCTCCCACAAGTGTTTGCTCAGACCTCTACGGATTTCTCTTAAATTATTTTATCTTGGGGTCTGCTCTAACACATTACCCATTTCCCCCAATGCTCCAAATTTTCCTCCTTCCCCAATTAATCCAAAATGAAAATTGGTATTTTCTTCACTGGAGACCAAAGACTGGCTGCCATTTGAAGGAATTATCTGACCACAGTTTATTTCTCTTAAGCAGCAGAATCCTACTGCTGGTTCTTGGACCATCCACTGCAACCCTAAATAAGTCAGTTCACAAGCAGTGCCTGTGTTTCTAAGCTGCAAACAGACAATAGGATTTGACTGGCTCACAGTTGTATTTATCATACAACAATTAAAGGTCCGTGATTTGCAATTAATCATCTCTCTGCCAGCACACATCTCAAATCAGAACCCTCAAAATTTTTGATGAATCACTCTTAAGAACCTCTTTTGTGGCCAAAGCACATGTCACGCATGTATCTTCTTGTTTAAATTTAAATCTGCTCCTGGAGTACTGCAGTGATGCTCAGCATTGCCCAGTACAACAGACATCCCCAATCTATACATGATGTAGCTATTTTACAAGATTTGAACACTCAGTCCTCAACACTCAAGCTCATAAACCACACGCTGCAGCAGAAGCCTGAACAACTTAAAAGTGCAAAGACCATCAACAAAACAGTTTTCTTGCAGAAACAAGCCAAGTATGTGGATCTATTTATGCATCCCTTTAGGATCCTTCACTTCTACATAGCTGCTAAACACTGCTGTTGGTCTCTGAAGGTATTTTGCTGCGGAAGCTTTCTGTAACAAAGCAAAGTTATCAAGGAAGGCATTACCTCATCATATCTTGGGGGTGTATTTATCTCTAAATGGTTGTGGAAGGTATTAAGTTGCTCCTCAGAGTTATACCTGAAGCCAAACTAAACCCTGTGGCTTCAGGATCTAGCCTTGCATCACCAGTATGGGACATTGAAATGCAAAGAGACACTTGCTGCCAGGCCTGTGCCTGATTTTGTCACAGCAATTACTGCAGCTATGCCTAATGAGTATTTAGCCTTTTGACTGCCACAGGCATTGAAGTGCTGCATTTTCCCTGCTCTTCTACCCATGTGGAAATTTCATCGTGTTAGGAGAGGCAAGGTTAGCCCAGCATGGTTGAGTTTAGGCCCCACCTGTCTCCTGATTCCTTCCAGGCAACACACAAACATCAGGGAATTCAGTATATACCATCAGAGCCTGGTGACAGACTGCTAAGTACCCCTAGTTTGGGTGCACAGCTTCCAAGAGAAGATGCCATTTATGGGGTACCAGATTCCAGCTCAGGTCTGGGGTCAAGTAAACACTGATTCACTTTGCTCAAGTTTGGCACTGCTAAGGTCCCTTGATGATAAACAAGATGGTTCATCTCCATTCAAGTCCTTCCACCCACTGTTCCCAGCCCTTAGTCACTGCCTCCTCAGCAGCCCCCTGAAACCATCTGTTCTGGAGAAGTCAGAGGTGCCTTGTTTTCCCCAAGAAGAGCAATGCAGCTGAGCAGGGCTGAGCAGCACCCTGCCTCGGATCAGACACCACCACCAGGCACAGCCATAGCAGGAACCAGCTGAACACAGCCCAGTGCTTTCTCTTCTCCTGTTTGTAAAGCACAGGTAACAGTAATACTCCCACAAACCCAAAGATTTGTGTAACAGTGCTCTGAGATCACAGGACTTAAAGAAAGCATATTTGTTATTTTCACATGGTAAAGTAAGAGTGGCACGGACATGGATGATTATACAAACAGCCTTGTGGGCTGTCTCGTACAACCTCCTCAGTCATTTGGGCTCTTCAGTCAAATTAGCACATACCACATGCTTTGTTCTTTTTATCAGACCAATTTTGCTGGTACAGTTGCCTGCTCCAAGACATATTTATTTAGAAAAGGAGGCTGCAGGGAAGTAACAACACCTTAAGAACGGACTAAATGATCACTGAGGTCCCTTCCAACCTGAGTTATCCTACAAGCTTATAACCACTCCAACAGGAAATGCCTGGAGCTCACCCAGTTAACCTTCCTTCCAGTTCTGGGGCCCAGGACAAACCAGTCTGTGGACACATGTGTCACCTGTCTGGCTTCTATGTGGCTTCTTGTTTCTTCAGCAATTTTATCACCACCAGCCGGTATCCGAGCCACCACGCTGAGACTCCAGCAGCAAAAGCACACATAGCAGCCACACTGACATCTGGTATTATAAATACAAGCTCTGCACTGTTGGATAATCTGTTAACAGCAGAGTAAGTGTCACTGGAAACGCAATTAGCAGCAACTACTAAGCCATTGAATTCAGGAGGAGAAAAATATTTGTTTGTAAGACATGTAACCAAACATTCATTGCAGGCAGTATCACTCCTCCCTGCTTGCAGATTTCCACTGAGTGTGGGACTCAGGGCTACTGCAAGGTGCCTGCAGCAGCCCTGGACTGAAGCCCTGCACAGCCACAAAACAGGTCTGGCAGGGGCCAAGTGTGCTGTCCTGTTAGGGAAACGTGATTTGATGACAATTTGAAAGGAGCCCCACGGGTCCTGAGCAGGGAAACCAGCCCTGCTGGGGCTCCCAGCCCCTGTGCTGAAGTGTCTGCATCATGCCCATCAGCCAGTACCAACCACAGCAACATTTGCTCTTGCACAGATTTCCATCCACTCAGAGAGAAACTCATCAGCACTCACATTCCCTGTGCAGCGAGCAGCTGCTGAGCAATAGCTGCACCACCATCCTGGTATCAAGCTGGAGCACTGACATATGTCATGTCCACACCACAGCAATAATTGTAGTTGCACACAGTAGGTCTACACACAATTTCTTCTTACGACTGTTCAGACAACAAAACAGCCCTTATCACAATTACACTGAAGAGCCATGCTCATTCTGGGTACTATTTCCATAGCTCCTTATCATGGTTTCCAATGGCCACACAGAAAGAAAAGAGACTATACATTACAGCAGGGCCCCAACATTATTTTAACAGGATTGGGATTTGCAGCATATACACATACATTCTGTGGTAAGAGGTCTCAAGTTACCAGCCTAAACTAGCCAGCACTCAGGGGTATCAAATGGAGAAAGACCTCTTCACACTGACATTTTCCATTTCCCCTCCAATTATTTCCTCTAAATGCTTTTCTACAGACAGCTCTCAGCTCCTGCTCAGGGGACCCTTAATTATTTCATTTTCTAAAAGCCACAGTGCTATAACTTGCTGCTAGAGAGACAACTGATGGGACACGGTGAGGTCATAAGTTCTCCTGTGACAGGAGTCATCAGAAAGAGACAGAAGATAATTGAATTCATTTATTTTCCACCAAGCAGATAAAATCCCTGGTTCTAAATTGGTGCCCGTGGAGATGCACCAAGGATCAGTAAATCCTCTTGTGTGGTTGGTCTAAAGGAGAGGAGCAGTTTACCCCAATAGACCAACTGTCCTTCCTCCAACAAATCCCCCTCTGGCCCAGCAGCCCTACATTATCTACAACACCACTGCAGCACTGCCTGCACAGATCCTCTAAAATGGATTTATGAGGCTGGACTGCCAGTACCTAGAAAGCATGCAAACAGCAGAGCCAACAGGTGAACCCATTTTGCTCAAAGATTTCAGAAGATCCATTTTCCCCTTCCTCAAAAGCTACAGCTCCAGTTTTTCATTTGGGTGGCAGGAATTCTTATTTTTTTCTGTGACTATGGACAAACAAGTGGATCCTGGACTATGACCTGAGGCTCAGAATGTGATTCTGCAATGTCCTGCCCTTGGCATGATCCCAGCATCTCTGGGGCATACAGTGCATGGACCTTTGGAAGTTAGCTAGAAGAGATGCCAAACTCTTTAAATTTTGTATTCTTATTTTTTTCAAAACTCTTTGATCTACGGCAGAGAAGAAAAAATTTTTATTTTGACCATGTTTTCTTTGTACCAGATGCAACCCCTGTACCTTCCTCCTAGTACACCCAGCACACCCTGCACTCACTGCTCAAAGATACCCTTGCACAGGTCTAGAATTTAAGGCTACTTGCAGCTAAATAAGCAGTTAATCCACACCACAGACCCTTCTGACAGTGGAAAAGCTCTATAAGCCATCCAACAGCAAACAGCTTAAAAGAAAAAGTGGGGGTAGGGAAATGAGATCCAATAGATGTTGTCACAAATGCAGTTTGCTGAAAGAGAAAAACCCACGCAAGCATCTGACCAGGTATCAGCAGTCACTGCTTTTTTAAGGCAAGTCACCAGAAACCTGCATGCTCCTCACAGCATAAACAAACACCTTGATAACTAAAACCCACATATAACTGAATACAATTAATTAATAAGGCCAGGAAAAAGGTGAGGAACACACACACACATCCCCCCCCCCACCCAGGTGTTGTGTGTCTGCACTGAAGCAGATACCCAAGCAGCGAGGTCTGCAATTTACTCAAGTTGCAGATGATGAATGCGAAGGTCACATGAAGGGAAGGCACCAGTATATTGCCTGTCACAAAATGGTAGCACCCGGGGATTTGAGCATATAGGAGAGCTATAACCCCGTCCTTCCTATAGCCTCCCCGCAGCTCCTGACATGGCATCCGCTATGGAGGACAGCGAGCCTGGCCTGGGGGAGGGGGACGGAGCAGATTAAACTTAAACACCCTCTGCATCACCCCCCCGCAGCGACAACATCCCTCTCTGAGCCCCGCACCGACAGGGATGGATGCGGCCGGCCCCAGGGCCACTTCAGCCCCCTCCGTTATGTAACAGCCAGGACAAGGGGGGGCTCCCACCGGCCGCCAAGGTGCGGCAGCGGCGGGGACCCCGCTGCGGAACGTCCCCAGGCGGGGAGCCCTCCCTTCCTCACCCCTGCGCCCGTTCCCGCACCGCGCTGCCCGTGCGGAGCCCCTGCCCGCGCTGCTCCCGCACCGCGCTGCCCCCGCACCGCGCTGGCCATGCGGCAGCTCTGCCCGCGCCCCCGGGGACAGCCCCGCTCACCTCCCGACGAAATTCTCCAACACGGAGCTCTTGCCGGCGCTCTGCCCCCCCACCACGGCGATCTGCGGCAGGTCGAGGTTGGCGTTCTGCCCGATGGCGGCGAAGGCGTCCTGCAGCCGGTTGACCAGCGGGATGAGATCCTCCATCCCGCGGTTCCCCATGGTTGCGGCGCGGCTCCTCGCACAGGCGAGCTCGCACTAACCCTTCCCGCAGCCCTCCCCGGCTGTGGGGCCGGTGGGCAGCGGCTCCAGCCCGCGCCCCTCGCCCCGCTCGACGCCGCCCGGGCTCCGCTCGCCTCAGCCCGCCCGCCGCGCCTGTGGAGCGCCCCGTGCTGCCGCCAGGGGGCGGTAAAGGCACCGGCGCCGCGCTGCATCCTGGGAGATGTAGTCCGGCGCTGTGAGGGGCCGAGGGGCCGGGATCGGGATGGCAGGGCACTGTGTCTGTGCCCAGAGACCTGGGAACGGGGCTCGCTCCCAAAACTACAGCAGTTCAGGTTGCCGCGGGGCTGCGTCTGTGTGCGGCAGGTTGGCACACCTGCGTGGCGCAGCCGGTGTGGATGCGCAGCCCGGTGAGCCCGACCGTGAGCCCGTACCGCCGGCACGGTGCCACCATCCCTGTGGCATCCGCTGCCTGCAGCTGTGCAGCGTGCAGCGAGCAGGTGAGATGCGATCGGGGGGCCCACAGGGCTTGGTTGCTACACCTGCACTGTTTGATGCTCTCAGGCACACCCTTCAGTCGGCGCGCCACGGTTTGGTCACAGTGCCTGGGAACGGGCTGGGAGCGCTCTGTGTGAAGGCAGCACCCGTGAAACCATCAGAACACAAGAAACACTTGGGATTATTAAACTGGAGGTTTGCAAAAACGCTACCACTTTCTGAGCATCTAGCTAGAATAAGATGGCAGAGGTCAGGATGTTTTCTGAAGTCCCTTCCAACCCATTCTATGGCAGAGGCTAGAATAAGATGTTTTTTAAGGTTCTTTCCAATCCATTCTGTGATTCTCCTGCTTCATTCAAACACAGATGAAAAATGCATCCATTTCTGTTTATAGCTGTAAAACAGTGGATGTGTTGCCAGGCTTGTTTTAGAGAAATACAAACAGGTGCTTCATTTTTATGCACCCAGATTTTGTTATTAAAATGACTTGTCTGCAATGAAGAGGGAACAGCTTGGTTTTAGGTTTTTAGAAAGGGATGAGTTTTTAATAAGAATATAACATGAGGCCATATTTGATTTCAAAGTATAGCAATGAAAACAAGTGTTCAAAAAAGCATCTGATGGCTAGCAATGACTCAGAAGGATGGAGAATGAAAGTCCCTTCCAACCCATTCTATAGAAGAGGCTAGAATAATATGTTTTCTAAGGTCCCTTCCAACCCATTCTATGGCAGAGGCTAGAATAAGATGTTTTTTAAGGTTCTTTCCAATCCATTCTGTGATTCTCCTGCTTCATTCAAACACAGATGAAAAATGCATCCATTTCTGTTTATAGCTGTAAAACAGTGGATGTGTTGCCAGGCTTGTTTTAGAGAAATACAAACAGGTGCTTCATTTTTATGCACCCAGATTTTGTTATTAAAATGACTTGTCTGCAATGAAGAGGGAACAGCTTGGTTTTAGGTTTTTAGAAAGGGATGAGTTTTTAATAAGAATATAACATGAGGCCATATTTGATTTCAAAGTATAGCAATGAAAACAAGTGTTCAAAAAAGCATCTGATGGCTAGCAATGACTCAGAAGGATGGAGAATGTTGCATTTCAAACACCTCTCAGTTCGTGCTACCCAAGACTCCTATTCACAGCTCAGAGAGAGATGGGGGTGGAGGGGGAAAAGAAATAGAAAAAACTGCAACAGATTTTGAGCTGTCTGTTTTGTTTTAAACAGCATCTTTTTAGTTACAATAACTATAATGAATATTTCACAGATGTCCATCAAATTTAACCCATGCAAAAATACCTATATGGACACACAGAGAAACTGAGGCAACCATGGTGAGGGATGAATTTGCCCCATGCTCTAACACATCAGCAGTGTGCAGGTAAGAACACTGAAGGAAGGGAAGGGAGCTGCTCCATCTGTATGGGTAACACCATTGTAGGGCATACGTGGGCAGTTTTGGGGGCTGTCAATGCTATTTTTTCCTCTCAGCAAATTACCCAGTAAATCTGAAGAAATAAACTTAAGAAATTCAATATGGACTGCGGACAAAAGCCTTTGAGCATCCTTGCAGCCATTCGGATAATTTATGTGGAAGGATTCTGGAAAAAAAAAACTGCTATGGATAGCTGCTCTTTGTAAGAGGTCACCACAAAAAGAACAGTGAAGAGTATCAAAGGCTCAAATAATGATGTCACCTTCCTCCCTGGATTAGAGCTGAAGCTCAGGGAACTTTAGACCATGAGGGTCTTTGAAGCTTTATTTGAGGAACCACAAGAAGAAAACCATCCTTTCCCAGAGCTTGCTGTAATTTGAAGTTCACCAACTGCAATACAGAGAAAGATTGCCCAGTTGCATCACTGCAATCACCTCACACACTTTACCAGCTGTACTAAAAACTCTCAGTGGCCCTGACCAGCCTCACCTGGGGCTTCCCCCCACATCTGTGGACCTGGGTGGGCCCTCAGTCCCTGCTGACCCATGGGAAGTGTTTGTTTCTGGTTCAGTTGCAGCCTATGGAGTCTTTGGGTCTGGGCTTCACTCACAGGTTGGCTCCTTAGCTCTGTCCCCATGTACTCTGAGTAGGTATTTTGTTCTGGGTGAGTTGGCTCTAGAAATAATCATTCAGGTTATACCATTTTTTGGCAAAGCTAAAATGAAACTAATCCATTGGCTTTGAGAAATGTTTGTGAAAGACTATCAAAAATACAGTATATCAACAGCTGATGTTGAAGACTGAAAGGAAAAGTAGGATTTATGTTGCCAGTAAAGGAGCTCATACAGTACAAAGGCTCATGCATGACTTCTTTGCAGGTGTTCTTTCCTATGCTGTCTAGTTTCATTTTTCTGTGAAACTCATATTTAGTTCTTAGGAAACGTGGTCCTTTGGGGGGTTTGGCCTAATTGAAATCTTAAAGGGCAAAACTGGCCAGGAGGGATGAGGGGAGCTAATAGGGTGCCCTCCAGGTACAGAAGAAAGGAATAAAGGGAATGATGGAATTGGTAAAACATGCAGAAATATTGGCGACCTTTACATGGATCAATATTACCGTAAAACAGAGATGCACAGAATCTGCTCCAGTTTCTTTGTCCTGCAGAGATATTTCTAAGCAAATGAGCTCCCGTGTGTGCCTGCAGCGTCACCCTGAAGCACTCATTTGCAGTGTGAAGTCTGAACGCTTCTGCAGCAACTGCAGCCGCTCAGCCCAGAGTCTGACCTCGAGCATCCCAGGCAGCGAGGCTTGGATGTTCTGCAGCGTTACAAACCTGCACCTCCCGCTGATGAAAAAGAGAACTGCAGGCACTCGGAATCGCTCCTCGAGCCTTCCATTTTCTCTCCTGCCACAAACTGAGTTGCAAGGATGTTCTCAGCAAACGTACCTTTTGATTCTGTGATACCTGTGTCTTACTCAGCAGCATGCAGCAGACAGAGCAAGAAAAACAAAAGGTATTTCAGTAACTGGAATGAATAGGAAAAATCTTTTTTCTTTTTTTTTAACTTAGAAAAACTGAAGATGTGAGCAAAGAAAAACAAGAGGGATGAAAGGTTTCCTCCCCCCTCCCTCTGGTGCTATAAATATTTCTGAATGTACTTTAACATGAATCCCTAAAAATGCATGTGGCCAAGCATATGTGTGTTTCTATGTATGGCTATCAACATAACCACAGTTGTGTATGCTGATTTTGTCACCTCATGCAAATAGGACTCCCAGTTTAGTTAGCATAATTAGAAATAGACATTTGAGAGCTGGATTCTGTCCTTCATTCCTTGCCCTTGCAAAAATAACATATCTAGTCCTCAGAGGAAAAAAAGAGGCAAAAATGTGGAATGCAATTAGCTTATGAATCTCTAAGTTACTTGCAAACTGTTTCTGCTGACTCCAGATAGTGTGAATGTTTACAATATTTCACTGTGGCTCTTGAAGTGGATAATTCTGGTCTTTTGAGTTCCTAAAAATGGTTATAAACAGAGTAAGAATTTAAATTGAATGTTTAAAAGCAGAGGTTAAAAGTTCCAAAAAGAAAGTGGCCTAGTATTGTCATTGTCCTTACTAATACTACATGATACAGCTGATCAACAGTTAAAAATATTAATTAAAATTAGCCTCTTAAATTTCCATAACTATCTAAAGCTGCCTATAGAGATAGAAAATGCTTATGTATTTATTTTACAGGTACTTAAGTGCTACTACAGTAGCAATGGTACCATAGAAACATCATCCATCTTTTGTGGTATCAGTTGCTCAGAGAAAAAAAGTTGATTTCTAATGCTCCTATTAATTGCAAAAGCTATTTGAAAGAAAAGCAGCCTTTAATTTTTGAGTTTTCAAATAGAATGCTTTTCTTTGTAGAATAACAGTAAAATGCTTCATCATCTTCTGTGCTTAAGCTGAATTGGTGTGCAATCCCCCCAAAAGAGGTAAAAGAAAGTAAATCTGGTGTATAAGACACTAGGACAGTATTATTGTTAGTGTGACTCTCCAGAAGCCAGAGTATACATAAGGAAATAAAGAAGCTGAATGTTATACTCCATTAAGAATGGAATATGCACAAGGATGTGAGTTTAAATTAATATTTTAAGAGCAACAAAGCTGAGTTCTCTGTGCTTTCTGCATCTAGTGAGATGTCATAAAATAGCTCCTGGTATGTATTTCACCTTGTGAGACTGAAAATCACTAACAGGAGCTGATTGACCATGTGGTAAAATGGATATAAAAACTATCTTTACCTCTTTGTGGGCCTGTCCTGCCCATCAAGAAATACCAGGAACAGGTTTCTAGAACTATATTACAAAGAATGAGGGAAAACATCCTTTAATTCACAGATCATTTTGGTTTGAAATGTTGTGTGAATCCAGTCATCCTCCAGATAAAAAGAGACATGGAAAACCGTGTAATTCCAGTAACTAATATCAGCTGTTAAGAGCATGTCTAGTGAAACTTGACCCATTCTCTCAATAGCTAGGCCCCCAAACCAGGAGAAGAAAGTACTTCAAAGCTCCATATGCTTTTTCTCCAAGAAGTTTGTGAGGCTTAAATACATGATGGTGAGAACTAGTTATATCCTGGTGAAACGGATGAGTAATCACACTATCCTTGCAGATTGCAGAGGAAATTGTGGGCACCGCAGTATGTTGATGCTGTCATAGGCACTGAGAAAACTTGGGTTTTCAAAAGTGATGTGGCTTCACCAAGGGTTGCATACCAAGTCTTTTTCAAAGCCAAAATTAAAACATAAAACTGCACTGTGCAGTCATATGCTGGAAATTAGAAATCTCTGGTTATCTGCATGCCTGATCCTGTCCCTGGAAAAAATTCATATAGCCCAGCAAAAACTTGGCTGTATAATACAATCCAGCTCCTGAATAAAAAGCATTCATATGCTCTGTCCTCTTATCTGCCAACAGATTTCATAACCCTGATCTAATCATACAGAGGTGTAGTGCAGGTTGCCTTATAGTCATGACCCAACAACTCCACTGACTGTAGTCTCTGCATTGCAGGATGCTTTCTGGGTCATTCTCTTACCTTGAACTTCTAAATCTTAATTTGTTTCATCACTCCCATTGCCAATGAGGCACTCCCAAGCCTAGGGGATACATGGGTTGTTTTTGAGTGATAATGCTATAGCCTGCATTGTGGCTCTTTTTAAGGTTCTGTGTATTCTCCCATTAACAGCTGTATTTGCCACTGCACATGGAGTAGTGAGTTGCTTAATTATTGAAAGGGAGATGTTCTTTGCAGGAAAAAGCAACTGTCAGTGGATGGGAGGTCAAGGTCTGTGTTCCAATGATCACTAGGCACTGACAGCACCTTTCAGCTGTCAGCCTGACACACTGGTTTGCTGCTTGTAGTGAAGGGAAGGATCCTAACCCAATTTTCTGCCGTTCCCTTATATCTCTGTATGACTTTCAAACTAAATGGTGTGATTACCTGAATCTGGAGCTTTCTCTTCTGCATTCAGTTAAACCCTCTCTGGTAGGTGTGATGTTCACATTTGGACATAAAGGCATGTCTGAAATCAGTCTCTGGGTTGTAGGCTGATGTACCAGCACGTTTTAATTTGCTTCATATAGCCATAGTCCTGTCTTGTGTTGTGCAGGCACAGGACTAAATCCACGTGCAGATTTGTGTTCAAGGCAGTAGACCTGTGGACTATTTATAAATTCTAAAATGTTGTTTATTTAATGATTTGTAGGTATGAGAGGAGCCTCTAGACTGTGTCAGAACAAAAAAATCTAACAGTGAAGAAACTTAGTCACTTGCATGTTTCATTAGTATGGCGGTTTGTAGATTTCCAAAGGTAACATACAAAGAATACTTACAAGAGCTTTAGTTGTAGAATTAAGAACAGAATACATCAATTTCAGATTTACATTTATCTATACAACCTGAATTCTGCCTTTCCCAGGTCTGGCTAATTTATGTACTAATTTATGTAGGATTAACCCTCACCCCCACTGCTGCAAACCAGCCAGGCCAGCGGCTGCTCTAGCAGCATCATCACAGGAGCAGAGGATGAACTATTAAAATTGATTTTTAAAAGACTCCATGCATGGTTTTTTTGCTCCGTGTGTGTGTTCCCTAGGATGACATTTAAGTTTTCATGCTTAACAGGAAAACATTTTCTCTGTGTGCAGACAGCCATAAAGGGCTGTGGACATGAACAGAGCCCATCATTGATTAATATGGATGGGCATCTCCAAACTGATGATTGATTGTAAAATCAGGATGGTATAAAAAGGACCAAAGGAAAAATCAACATATGCTGCTGCATTTAAAATTATTAATTATAACTGTATATCACCAGTAACTGTCTGTGTTCAGCTTACAATGCTTTCAGGTAAAAATCAATTCCAAGGACTTTATGAATCAAGTAGTCTTTACTGCCATGGATAAAAAGACTATAAAGTAAATTATTTCAGGATGGATTCTCTGGAATAGCAAGGATCAGAAATGTATCTTGATCCTTCTGAGGTTTAGCATAAGAAGAAATGATAGTCACAGTATATTTTCAGAGAGCCTGTGTGAAAGTGCTTAAAATTAATTTTGCTATAGAAAACAGGCCGTGCAGGAAAGGTTTTGCTGCAAACCCACCCCCCTGCCAAAAAAAACCAAACCAAACAAACAAACAAACCCAAAAAAAAGGGGAAAAAGAAAAAGGGGGACGGACCCTGCTAGAGAAGTCATCTCAGTCTACAGCATAAAGCAATATTGCAAAAGTCCCTGTTTATTTTCTTCCAGGTTCTCATAATAGGCTTGCCAAGATGTGACCACAGCAAATGGCCAGAGGCTACTTTGGGTTTTTTCTATCTTCTCGGTGAGATGGTTACCAAAGATTCCCCTGGACTATTAAAAAAAACCAAAAAAAAAACCCCAAAAAAACCCAAAACAAACAAACAAACAAACAAACAAAAACCCCACCAAAACCAAAAAACAAAGAGCAGAAAGCCCACGCTGTTGGATGCCATCTGCTGCTCCTGTGCAGCAGTTTATTCCATTCCCTGCCCAGCCCTGGGCAGATGGTGTCCATTCCCTCCCAGCCCTCTCGAGGGACAGGGGACCTCAATGCCGCCTCTGCGCGGGGAATGAGGGATGGAGGTGCTGCGAGCTGGGGCGACCTGAGAGGAGGCTGCGGGGGTGATCCCCAGCCCCGCGGGGGCGGCCGTGTCCTGCAGCCCTGCCCAAGGAGCTGCCTCCCGCCTGGGCTGGGCCGGGGAGCGGGGCCGGGCAGGTGCTTGTTGTCCCCGGCGGGAAGATGGAGGCGGCGGGCGGGGAGCGGTGATCGCCGCGGGCTGCGCCGTGAGTGTCGGCGGGGCGAGGAGGCGAAGGCTCGGGAAGCGGCTGCGGGTCCCGGCGCGGCCCCGCCGCGGGGAGCGGGCGCCGCGGGCAGGGGAGGGTGGGAGCGGGTTTTGGGAGGTGGGGTTTGGAAACCTCTTCCACAGGCTGCCGCTTGCGATGACCCCGGGGGGAAGGAGGAGGCGGCAGGGGGGGATCGGCTCAGTGAATGAATGGGCGGCAGCGGCGGCGGCTCCTCTGCTCAATGGCTGCTGGGCTGATACGCGCCAGCCCCGCAGCCGGTGCCTCCCTCGCCCTCCCGTATTTTGTCTCAGGCTCGCCTCGCTCGGGGCTCCCCAGACATGTTCAACCAGCAGCAGTTCCAGCAGCAGCTGCTGCAGCTCCAGCACCTCCTCCAGCAGCAGCAGCAGCAGCACCATCACCACCCTCCGGCGCAGCAGGGAGGCCGGTAAGCGCCGCTACGCGAGGCCGGGGATCCGGGGCCTGTCCCGGGGGACCGCTCTCCTCCGCCTCCCTGCGCTCCGTCCGTCCTCGCCACGGCGGGGCTGGTGCGGGGCTGCCCTCCCCTGGTGGGGAAGGCCACAAAGGGAGGCGGGCGAGGGTTGGGGGGCGCGGGCCTCGGTCGGGGCAGAGCCTGGCGGCACCGGGTGGGCCGGGGGAGTGCGAGGCAGGGCGGCGGCCCCTGTGGGGTCTTGCCGTGTCCCCTCAGCGCTCCGGGGATCCCTGTCCGCCCTCCGGGGCTGCAGTGCCCGGGAGCCCGCGGGTGACCCGGGCAGTCCGGGTAGGAGCGGTGGGTGGGTGGATGCTCCGAGCCGAGCGTCGCCCCTCAGGGCGGGCAGGGCAGCCGGGGCTCGGGGAAAACGCCTTCTCCTGCAGAAACACAGCGCTCAGCAGAGCCACCCTCAGCAGACAGGAGCACTTTATTGTTTTATTGTTGAACTTAAACTGTTTATTTATTTGCTTTCTCCGGCTGGGTCTGCTGGTGTGGGTGCGATGATTGAACTTATTTCTGCAGTGGCACCAGCGCTAAGGCTGTGGCTGAGCACGGTGGGGCAGGGAGGGGATGGAGAAAATTGTGTTTTGTTCGTGAAAGCAGAAAGAACATTTGTCAGAAAGGAACCACGGTTTTCCTAAGAAATGCAAGATGTGAAACAACTTAAATAGGAGCAGTTGTCCCCGATGAGCTGAGACTTATAGAACCAGCACAAATTCTCTGAAATAATGCATTTCTTTGCAATTACTGTTATCTTTAAAGCCTTGTTCTTTGCAAATTCAAAGCAAATGTGAATTTAGGAAGAAATTTAATTTGTTATTTAAGGAATTATTGTGTTACTTTATCCTTATAAGGCATTTGTCACTGAGGTAAGCGTGGGAATTTTTCTGTTTTACTAGCAATATGAACCTGCAAATCTCTTTACCATTTTTATATGTTTTATGCTATAAAAAAAGCTGCACTTAAAATGCCAGTAAGGGGCTGACTGCTAGATAGCACGGCTGCATCTTACACCTTTAAAAGTATGATTTTTGTGGTATAAATATCTCTGCTCAGAGATTGGAACAATCTAGAGCAGCAAATGTGGAGATGAGCTGCTGTGAATTCTGTTGAAGGGGTTGGGTTTTTTTGTCAGGGTGGATATTTCGATCCGTGTTTGTACCTCTCTTCAGCTCTGACAGATTCAGCTGTGTCAGCAGCGTGCATAGAGGTGGGCCTGACCTTGCAATCGCCTGAAGAAGTGCCTGCCAGTTTCCTCAGACTTTTCTCTCACGTCTGCTCCACCCTCCTTAGAACTGGAGAGTTCTTCCCTGCTGCTTCTTCCTCCTCGTGTTTTAAATATGAAGGCCGTGCTTTATTTTTCCATCTGGTTCTTGCAGTTAGGGGGCACCATTGACAGTTCTGACCTGTCTGGCTCCGTGTGGGAGGTGTTGATTTTGGGAAAATGAGCTCTAAGCTACTGCAAAAACTCCCTGGTTTTTAGAACTTTTTTGTTGTCGTGTTAAATGTAGCCGCTGATCTAGATCACTCATTTCTCCTGACGGGTGCTGCATAATTCTGTAGAACCGCAGTCAGCTCCTGGGCTTTTTTTATGCTGCTTGGGAGGCTCTATGTGGGCTTGGTGCTAAGGAGTTGTCTCTGACCTCAAATTCTTTGATAGACAATCTGTCAGCTTTGGAAATTCCAGGAGAGTGGAGGAAAGAGGATACAGTGCCAGCGCATGGTGTCTTTTCATGCATGTATATCAGCCTTTCAGCTGTTTGCCCCTCTGTTTTGTGCTTAGAATGGAAGGATACAGTTTTTATTGGGTTCTCATGATTGATGCCTTCTTTTCCAGGGGTTTGCCGCCGCCACAGCAGCAACAGATGCTGAGCTTACGGGCAACAAATCAGCCCTCGCTGCTCAGTGCCAATCCTATGCTTCAGCGGGCCTTACTCATGCAGCAGATGCAAGGTACTGTCGTTATGGGAAACGCTTACTTACTGGAGTTATTTAATCATCCTCTTGGACTGAAACCATACCATGGCTATTTCCTGCTGAACCAGTGCAGTTCTTGTACTTGGCAGTTCTGTTTGTTGTCTTCTTTTTTTTTTTTCCTCCCATCTTTTCTTTAAATTAGTCTGCTCTGCAGTCCTCAGAACAGAGGTTCTTCAGTTGTTCACAACTGGGAATAGCATGTGGAGGTATCAGGTTAGATACTAAATACCTTCCCTTTTAGGCTTGATGCAGCAAGTATTTTTTCATCAATATATTTAGATCAAATACTGAGATTTTGATTATTTGTCTTTCTTGGTTACAAGGTTAAGGCCATTTATTTAATTATCTGTTACGTGTGCTCTGACCTTGTTTGCAGTAGATTTTTTTCTTTGTCCAAAGTTAGTACAGTACAAACAAATACAGCATATTAAGGTAGAAGATGGTTTGGCCGTTAATTGTATTGTGAAATTTTGATTCCCTGAAATGACCGTAATTTCTATGGTGGGCAATATCTCTGTCTTTCCATTATTGTGTTTCCACAAGTGGATTTTCCTTTTCTTTTTGTGTTTTCAAAACAAATTTATGAAGCTGCCTTAATAATAGAATTACTAATGTGAAGATAATAGGAATAAAGATATGTTTTTAATTTTTGCTTATGTCTTAACCTGACAGTTCTTTTCAACACAGAAAATCAGTACCTGGGATAGTTCTCAAGTGCCTAGTCTAGATTAATGCCTGCAATTTCTACCTTTCCTGTGAATCATGTCCAGATGTGAAGACAAAAGATTTATTCTGCATGTCGTTAACTCTCCTTTTGTTCTCTCTTGCCCATTTAACGAGAGGGCTCTCTAGTGACTCCAGTGGCTCTCCACAGATCTCTCTCAGGTTGAAGGAAAAGTGACAGTGAGAAAGGACAAGCCATGCTCTGATGATTGATGTACATATGTTGTTATCAGGAAAAATTGTGACTCCAGCCTTCAGTCAGTCGTGCTCCTTCTAGATATGTTTGCAGTCAGCTGACGTTTTTCCCTCAATCTTTTATTGAGGAGTTGTATTTAAATAATGTGCCAAGGGCTTGGGGCTAATTAGATAGAGCAGGATAAGATATGTTAATGAATACTTGACATGCACTTTGTCTTAGTGTTGCTCCTCTTCACCTCTCCATGGAGTTGTGACTTTTCTCAATCACCTACCTCAGGTAGCCACAATTAACATGGAATAAGGTTGCCAATGTCCATGTGGCCCTTTTTAGTGATATGAATTTTTTGGCCATTGAGGTGTGGGTTTCATGTAAGAATATCTGATGCTGTGCCATTTCTGTCCCTGGGAAGCATCAGCATAAATAATTCATTGTCTGTGTGTGGCTTCAGCAGTGGGAATAGGAAAAGATAAATACTTCAAATTGAAACAGATGTGTGGTTCTTTAAAGGTATCAAACCAAGAGCAGAAGATGATTTTTTGTGTTAGATTTTTTTTAAAATATATATAGCTATGCCTTTTTACAGTAAGGGATTATATATGGGAAGTAATAATACATTAGATTGCTTTTGATGACAAACATAGGGAGTACTTCCTATTGTGTTGCAGGCTTTTAAGAGGGTACCTTGGTTTTTCAGGTGTTGGGTGGCTGTTTCCAAACTTTGCTGTCCTGTTTTTGCAGCTGCTAAAAGGCTGGAGTATGCACTAATTCAAGTGAGAGGGAAAAAATGGCAATTTAAGTCCAGGTTCCCTGAATCATGGATGGTTTCTGAGGGTATAGCTGAGGAATCTGGGCCCCTCCATTCTCTCACACCTGAAATGGGGGTGACAAGGACTGTCTTCAGAAGAAATTTTTGACACTTGGTTAATAGTCTATGGATGCTGAACTGTTCAGAAAGCAGAGCATTATAATTGGAAATGGCAGAGTCTCAAGTGTCAGAGTTGAGGTTGACATGTTGAGCTTGCATGACAACTAAGTGGCAGAGAGGACTGTGGGATTTTTTTTTTAAGTTTGGTGTTGTTTTAAATTAAATGCTGTTACTGGGTTGTTTTAAAGAGCTCCAAGCTATGGTGTGGGCAGTCAACTGCACAAATGCGGGGTGAAGTTTCCTTTTTTTACAGAGAGTTTTGTTAAATGAGACTTTGTTTGTTGCAAACACGAGTGCTAATGTGCTCAGATCAAATAATTGCTCTAATGATCTTTGCCTGGAGTGGCAATTATAATTAAATAGCCTGATCCATAGTAATGGTTGCTATCACATCACATCATTCTGTGTGCTGAAGAGGGCAGAGCCCAGAGCACCTCGGCAGTGCCCAGTAAAGGACAGGGTCATGTGTAGAGGAGCCCTTCCCCTCTGCCTGCTTGTGCAGGGGGAAGATTTTCTGTCTCCTTTGCAGAGCACAGGGTGGTGAGACGCTGTGTTTGCATTTACAGGAAACCTGCGTGGATTTAACATGACGGCGCCAGCACTGCAGCAGTTCTTCCCTCAGGCTACAAGACATTCCCTCCTGGGACCACCACCTGTTGGGGTCTCCTTGAAGCCTCGGCTGGGCTTCCCCAGCCTCCCATTCCAGCGGCAGAACCGGACCTTCCGCAAGGTGGGACTGTGGTTTGCAGCTCCTGGGGAGCTTTGTGCTCCTTCTGCACTTGCAGTTGTTGACCCTATAGTAGGCGGAGTACAAAGGAGAAGGGAGAGAGCCTTACAAAGAAAATAATGTTTTGCGCTGTGCTGCTGATACAGAAATGCAGAAATCATTCCATCCCAAAGGCTTTTGTGGTCCATATTTACATTTATGCTGCTGACACAGAAATACAGAAATCATTCCATCCCAAAGGCTTTTGTGGTTTTGCATTTACGATGCAAAAGTTTCTTGTCACTACTTGCCCAAGAGAGAGAATTCCCCATTATAGAAGTGTTTAAACCTAGGATATAAAAGGAGCCTTTAGAAATATCAGCTTTAAAGTAAATGCAACTATAGAAATCCTGGCTAAGTGCTTTGCTGTTCCAAAGCAGTTTGTTGTTCCCAAACAACTTGCTCCTACTATGGACACTCTGCCTCTTTGGGCTGTTCTCTCACTTTTTAAGATCAGACTCATATTTGTCCTTGTGGATTTTGTAAAATCTACAGTTCTTGTTTTGTGAAAACCTTTCTCACTTTCCATAATTAAGACCTCTTTTGTAAACTGGAAATGGTTCTTGGGTTGACTGCTACTTGCCTCCTCTTAGACTAGCTTTGGCATATTTCATCCCATTCTGTCAGAAAGAAGTGGTGGATAAGGTAAACTTGCACTCTTGGGCTGTCCTCCGGAGTGAAAAAAAGGGGAATTATTTTGGAATATCCTTTGCCCTGCCCTGCCCTGTTCCTCTAGCATGATCCTACCCTCTGCAAGCAGCTGCTGCTTAAAGTGCTGGGGACATGTCCTGGCTGCCTGTGGAACTGAAATACCGTGCTCTCTTTGACCATGTAAGCTTGCCTTAGGTGGGGCAGTCCATTGTGAACCATCTATTCCTTTCCATTATCACTGCAATTCCTGTTCCTGCCCCACAGTAAAGCTCTGGTGCTTTAGGCAGTGTGTGTTAAGGACTAAGAGATGGCAGTGACTCTCTGCCCATTGCAGGACTTCCAGAGGGTTCCTGACAGGAAGCGGGAACTAGATCCTGGTTCTTCATCTCAGACACAAGGTGATGACAAAATGGAAATTGCAGAGGGAATGCAAGCAGGCTCGGAGCAGAACAATTCCTCACCATCCACAGGTAAGGGGGAGCCTGTTGTGAAACAACTGCTTGCAAATATGATAAACATCTCCTGACTAGTCCTGCAGCAAAAACTGGAGATGATTTTAGGCTTAATCAGCTATGTTTCTCTCTAATTGTAAATACTTAAACTGCTTGTGATAGCCTTCTGCTGTGTGCTTCATATACCATTTTTACCTGATTTTTTTTTTAATGAGCCTGCTTGATTTCTCTTGCATGGATGCCTCTCAGAAGTCCCTTTTAACACTGAGCTCTGTTTAAGATGGGGGGCAAAAATGAAAACTGGTCTGAAATTAAAGCTTTCACGTTGCCTTACCCATGCTGAAGTCAACATCTCATGCAGCCAAACACATCAAGCAGAACCAGTTACAATCAGCTAAGAAAAAGATGAGTTGAAAGTCCTGGTGCCCCACTTGTCAAAACAGAAACTGCTGGCACTGAGTATCATGATGTCAGATACAACACAGATGTGGGGATGTCATTTCTGACTGAAGAGTGCACAATTCAAAATTACAGGCTTTGATGAGGTTGTGACCAGGGAATATGCAGCAGTGAAAACTGTCTTATTAACTGGTTGCTGTCAGGTAGATGTGCCACCTTGGCTTATATTAATGTTCCCATGATCATGGCTCTTGTCACTTAGGTACAAGACTGAGACCCATTTAATAGATATGAACATAGATTTCTTTTTTTTTTTGATCAACACCTCATACAGTGACATTGCAATAAAGCTCAAATATTTGAGGTCATTATCTAACCTTGTCAGAGCAGCTCATAAATTCAGAATAAGCAAGTATTTAGTATTATTTGCTCTAACAGAGCCTCATTGGCATTTGCCATTCAGATATGGAACACGCTCAAGGTGGCATGGTCTGTTTTGCTAAGGAAGTCTCCTTCTGTGTTCCTGCAGAGCCAAGAACTCCAGCAGAGTCTGTGTTGAACACTGAGCCTGCAGCAAAAAGACTGAAGAGGTATTTATTGAATGGGGTATTGAGATAGTTACTGAGTTTAGAATTATTCTCTAATTTTATTTTCTGATAATTAGGGCTGTATACCCTATTGGCCTGATGTCTAGCATGTAAGAAGTATTTCAGATGCTTGTGAACAGCTTGCTTCAGAAAGTCTTGTGGTGCTTGCTGACATACTGAGTGTTGTGGCGTCTCTGCTAGGGGTGATCCAATTATGAGAATGAAAAATGAGAGGTGCAGCTCCTCTAGATGTGCAACAAAGCTGAGTTTGCTCATGTATTCTTCTGCCAGGATCCCTGTAAGAAGCATAGAGGTTCTTTTCTATTCTGATGTATTTCTCTGAGTTTCTTCCCTAAATGTCAAAAGAGTGAAATGAGCAGAAAGGGAAAGCAAGCCTTGGAATATATTAGGTTACAGTAGGTGTACAAGAGGGTAGATTATTTTGAGAAATGATAAAGGAAAGGTATCCAAGCCTGTATCCATGCACGTTGAGTTCTGTATCCCTTCTGCAAAGGTTGCCTTGCCAGTATCTCTGTCTGTTGGGTAAAAATAGACAAAGGCAATCCTATTATCCCCCAGGGATGCACGGCAGGCTGGCCTTGGCAGGCCCATCCCGGCTCTCCCGGCCTCCCCAGGGTGCGGCAGGGACAGGCAGGGCTGCATTGCCATCTAGTGGGAAGGCACCTCGCGGAGTTCCCGCTGCCATCTGCACCGGGCTGCTCCTCTCCCAGAACTGTCACCCTTGGCTGGCGTGGAGGGAGAAGAGGAAGGAGTGAACACAGATTTCTGTAGGCACTGACTTGAGAATTCTCCAGCATATGTTAACGACGATGAGTCAGGACTCCTGGGTGCTCTTACCTTCCCTGGCAGGCATTCGCCGCCTGCTTTTGGACAGGTTTCCTCACCTCGCTGTTTCCCATCTGTAGATTACAGATTAATGGATAGCTTTAGGGGGAATATTCCAGGATTGCATTATCAAGGTAATATCCAAACATCAAAGTAAAACATTAAAGAGTGGTAAATATTGTGTGCTCAGGGACCATCGTGAGTTATGGACTCTGATTAGCAAGAAAGTGAATAAATTCAATTAAAGCTAGGTCGAATACATTTGAGTGCATGCTTTGTTAATCTGTTTGCCAAAGCTAATTTAATTTTAATTACATTAATATTTAGCAGGGTATTAATCAAAGTCCTGTTACATGCACTGAAAACAAGAATCAAGTCTGAGGAATGACAGCTCTCACTGCAGCAAGCCAGCTATTAGGAAAATTCTTTCCTAAGCTGCAGTTAGGGACTGCCAGATTTGATGCATATATTATGGCTGGTATTTACCTAGAATAGATTATTCCTTAGCTTTTTTTTGAACTGTTTCTAGTATCTTCCAATGAACACATGAAGGATCTGTGAAAAAAAAATAGTTTACTGTTCTCATACTGCCCTTCACAGACGAGAAGGGCATTCCCCCCATCTATGTAATAAAATTGTGGTTTATGCTTCATTGTTCCATTCCCTTTAGCCAGAAATACCAGCCTCCTTCTTCATTTCAGGTTTTCCCACTTCTGCCTTTGCTCCTATATACCATCTGTACACCTGGAACAACATCCTCATTCCAGTGCAGAAAGCACTCATCACCTTCAAATCTTCCTTGAACACCCACTTCTAGCATGGCATCACAAGTATCCATAGAATACCATTTCCTCTTTAGATTATGCTCGTGGTGGCTTTTTCTCCCTTAGATTGCTCCTTAGGTTTGCAGTTCAGGCTGCAAACCCTCGCCCTGAGTGCTGGCACCATCTGTGTGTGGTACCGTCAGCGTTGAGCCTGCTGGCAGCACCTGACAAATAATGTTAATGCCAGTCACTCTAGTTTAATTCGTGTTTGCAGTGCCCAAACCCTGCTGCATATTTATAGCTGTGTAACCCAGTTCCCTTATCACGTATCAATCCGATAAATGATGCGGTGCGCGTGCGGTCGGGTAGCGGGACGCGGTACCTGCGCTATCGGCTGTCCTGCTTGTGCAGAAGGTGCTGCTCCCTCCTGCCAGAAGGACACCAGCAGGTGGGAATTTGAGCCACCCTCAGAGCAGACAGTCAAGTCATGGTGGAAAGTCAGTCCTGACAGAAAAATGGGGGATGTAGGAAGAGACAGCAGAGGATGTAGAAAGAGACTGCAGAGAACGCTTTGTGCCCTCTGGAAGTCAGACATTTATTCTTAATAGTCCCCTCAGGAGCGCTATTCTCCTTAGCAGATCACCAAAAGCAAGGCCCTTTTGATTTGCATCTTGTAGAGTTTCACTTCCCCCACAAGCAGAGCTGTAGGGACTCTGAAATGAAACACGACTGGTATGAATAGAACAGGCGGCTGTGGTGAAATCCCTCTAAAGGCACCATGGAGAACTCCTTCAGTGCTAATAGGTCTCTTCTCTCATGTACAGAGCAGCCAGGAGCACTGTCCAGGTGTTGCAATTTCCCTCCAGCTCACCAGGCATGACAGGAGAGAGCTCTCGGAGCTCTTACTGAGAATATTTCTTGTATGAACTTAATTCCCTTCAGGCTTCTTGCAGGAGAGGGCAGCTAACCAAAAAATCAATTGCAGCTTTCTTGTCCAGATTATTGCTGTTTCTGAATCCATTCTAGAACACCCACTCTACATTATTTATTTATTTCTGCCAAATCCTTGCCTCAAATACCACTTCCAGTAGCTTATTGATTTGGGAGGTTAGTGGAGAGTGTGGTAGGTTAGACCCCAGCCTGTGCCTTGGTGTGCCTTTTGAAGCTCTTGTCTGTAACCTGGCAACTGAGGTACTTTTCTTGATATCCTTGAAGTGTGACTGGCGAGTCTGCGTTAGAGGATGCCACAGACAGCAAGAAAGCAGGAGTCTCATGCACCCATGTCCAAGCTGATGGTGAGTTGCTGAACCCTGTGATTTGAACTTTTACGACACTCCTTGCTGGAACTGAACCTGTAGGTCTCATGGGTCTACAGAAATATTCTTCCCCCAGTTGTACAGGATGGGGAAAGGAGGATAAAATCTAGAAACCAAATACAAGCTATGTCCCCTAATATCTGTTACCTGCCAAAGGCAAATGATTGAATGTTTCCATCTTAATTATTAAGGATAAGGAGAAAGGTTTGTGAACTGGCTTATGGCCAGCAGTGCTGTGAGGAAAGCTCCCTGACTTCACTCACCTGCTGCTCTGTTTTTCCTGTCATTGCTGTTTTGATTTAAGACTGCTAAAAGGACTGTCCCTTCTTAGGTACAGACAATGCAAAGGAGTACACAGCTGAAGATCTCTCCAGAGAGAGGAAATTCTCTGAGGAACCGAAGGCTCCTGAGGTGAGCAGACACCGCTCCATGCAGGGGTGGTGCAGAACATACAACCTCCCCCTCCATCCTGGAGAAGCCCGTTGCCACTGGGAACCAGCTGGCACCCACGTCTGGAGCTCTGTCTCCTGCTGTAAGCTGTTGTCCCTGGCAATAAGGCATAATATGTCTGCAATTAGTGCACAGTCTGCTCTGACTTGCTGCTTTTGTACCTCTGCTGGCCTGTTCCTCACCTGCTGCTGCCTGTGGATGGGGCATTCATTAAGATTTTTGTATTCAGCTGGAAAGATGGAAGGCTGAACTGAAAGAGTTACTTAAAACTCTTATATGTGGAGGGCCATAGCTAAATACATCTTTCATACTGCTAAAGAGAAAGTGTAAAAAGATTCAGGTGGTGTTAAAAGATGCAACCTGAGAGTCTTTTGCATGAAATACATGGCCCCCATGCTGGATGTTAAATCAGGACCTCAGGCTGTGTAATGCTGTGAGCAGACAAAGATTTAACCTCAGGTGTGAATCAGACTTGACAGTCTTCCATAATTGGAGACATTTATTGATGTGATCAAATGTATCATCCTGCCCATGTCTGAGTTCCTGACTCCATCAGGTGTAGTGCTGAGTAGGCTTTATTTTGCTGTGGAGAAACATGAGCTGATTGAGTCCCTTAGCAACAATTGTTTGTGGCTCCAGTCCCCAGAGACTGGATCATACAGAGGCTGCAGAAACAACCATCTGTACTAATAGGGCTGGTGCTATGACACAGGGATAGCCAATTTAGCAGCTTTGGGAGGAGTGTGTTGAGAGTCCTGATCAGCCTCCTGTGGGTTCAAGCTTAAGTGCATTTTCCTAAAGAGTAAAGAGCTTAGGTGACATACAAAAAGCAGGTGTAATTTTTATTCTACGGAGGGATTGAACTTAATGTTGACTCCTTCTTTTGACAGGTGTTGAGCTCTGGAGGTTCACTGAAAGTGACTATTCAGCAGAGCAGTGAGAGCAGAGCTATCAGTACAACAGCTCTGAAACCAGGGCACTGGGCCTGCGACGTGGGCACAGCTGATCCCAACCCAGAATCAGTCCTTAAATTCTACTGTTACATCTGCAAGACCAATTGCTGCAGTCAGCAGGTAAAAATGCACAGGTCTGACAGGGATCCAGGTGGTCAAGAGATGGGAATTAGATGGCTGATCTCTTGTTAGCAAGGGTTCATGTTTTAGGAACAAGGAACATAAGAAATGATGACAAGTATGCAGATAAAATAAACCTCTCCTGAGAGCTGGCAAGCAACCTGCTAGAGAGAGAATGTGGGTGGATCCACAGGCAGCCATGCTCTTAGGCTTTTGTATTTCATTGTTAAACAGCAGTCAAAAGAAAGGAAAGCATAGCTCATACCTATTATTTTCTGTGTTTTGGATACATTTAAAAGGATTTTTCTCCTAACCTCTCTTTCAGAATTTCCAATCCCACATGGCTGGAATTCAGCACCAGCAGCGACTTGGGGAGATTCAGCACATGAGCAATGTTTGTTTTGTTTCACTATTGCCCATGGTGAAACAGCAGAAGGTGCTAGCAGGAAAAGATGGGTAAGTGTTGGTCTGCAGTAGAAAATTCAGTCTGAGAGTGTGACCCTACTTGGGTTCTAAAATTTTTCACTGCACCAGGGTGCCTCTCAGTTTAAGGTAAGGTGCAAACCCCCTCTGGTTTCAAGGGCCTTAATCTCCTTCAGGCAACTTTCTATATTGCTGAAGGATACCAGAGTTGACTTTGACCTGTGTAGTTTTTAATACAGTAGATTAAGTAGGAGACCTGTTCTGTTCTATCTGGTGCATTTCTGACAGCACAAGCTAAAGCAACCTGTAAGTAGGTGAGAAGGCGAGAAAATAAATTTGAGCCTGTAAAGATAGGAATTGTGAAGAAAACAATGCCAGGGACAGATTGCTACCTGCAGTATTCCATGGAGAATGAAAAAGGTGTGACTTACAGCTCTATCTGTTGTCACTTCAGAGAGACCCAGCAGCGGTGGTGTAACACGTGTCAGGTGCATTTCACAGGGGACCTCATCAAACATCGCAGGACCCAGGAGCACAAGGTAACAGCCATGGCATGGACTTCATTTTGCACTGACCTTTTGTCTGGGGATTATATGGAAGTGTGTAGCATCTCCTGCTCCCCAAGCAGCAAAGGAGAAGTGACTGAAGTGGAAGGGTGCACACTAAGTTCTGCAGGTAACTCCTCCCTAAGGGCACTGCAGTGTTACCTCCTGCCTCTGGTATTGTTGGAGCTCCCAGTTGTTGTGACGTGTCAGTATGGCCTGAGGCACCTCTAGTCTGTAATTCTTGACTTTTCTTAAGAAGTATGGCTTATCATACTCACCTAATGAATTGAATGGAGGAATTGGTGGGCAGCCTCTTTAAACCAGACTTCAGGCAGGCCAGCATATTTATTGACTTTTAGGGAAGAAGTGACAGAACACCTATTTTAAGACACACTTATTTTGCTCTGCATATTTTTCATCTTTTTGGTGGATAAGAGTTAGGGAGCCCTTTCTGCTGAAAATACTTATTTTCTGTATGGTCTCCCAGCATGCGGGGCTGACTTTGTTTCAAGATTCATCTGCATTCCTCCAAAGCAGTGCCTCTTGTGACTTACAGAATTGTCCCTCTTTCCTTAGCTGGCCAAACGCTCGCTTCGTCCTTTCTGCACAGTCTGCAGCCGCCACTTCAAGACCCCCCGCAAGTTTGTGGAGCATATGAAGTCCCCTGAGCACAAACAGAAAGCCAAAGAGGTAATACTGCCTGCATGGAGAGCTGTGCAGGTCTGGAGGCAGCTACACTGTAGAGCAGAATAACTTCTGCTTTCCTGACTACTGTGGGGCTGAAAGGAAGATGTGCAGTTCTTCCAACCCTGTTTTAATTTTCATCTTTTGCTCAACTTCAGTTGTTAGCACTGTGAAAGAAGTTGAGTGAAAAAGGGAGAAGGTGTTGGATGTGTCTAGAAGTAAGAGAGCTTTATGCCCCTCTTGCAGTCCCTTCTGCTCATCACATACAATCTGTCCTGAGTCTGGGCTCTTCCTTGGTTAAATGGCAAGTGCAGAGTTGTTCTGATCTTTCTTTTCCGTACGTTACAGGTTAGGCTAGGAGAGAAGGAATTGGGGAGCCCAGAAGATTCAGAGGAGTTGATCACTGTGGATGCTGTTGGCTGTTTTGAAGATGATGATGAGGAAGAGGAGGAGGAGGAGGGAGGAGCTGGTGAGGAGGAAGACCATGATGTAGTGCTGATGGAGAATGAGGATTCTGCTGCCAAGCAGGTATGCTGTGCAACAGAAGAAGGAATGACCTATCTGGGAATCTGCTGTGGGATCCTATGACTTAGTTGGTCTTGGCTGGATGAGCTCAGGATTTCGAGAGTCTGCTCAGCTTTGTACTGCAGTAGGGTGGGACTCTAGGGTTCTTCCAGCGCACAGGGTGATGCAGAAGAGAATCAGGCACTATGTGTGGGATACATGAAGGTGTTTCTGCTGGGCTGTACAGCTTCTGCTGTCTGTGGACATTAACTTTGTTGAGGAGCACAAAGCAGTATTGACATAGTCTCTTTTAACAGCCCAGCAGTAGCTGGGTTTGATAGCAAGTGTGTAGAGGTTTATCTTGACAAATGCATTCCCAGTAGAGAGCAATTACCAAGAAGGAGGTACATGGCTAAGCTCCTTCAGGCTTGGAGTGCAAGGGGTGATTTTAACCCTTGTAATGAAGTGGTCTGCTGACATTGGGGTTTGCATCTGCCCCTGATCAGAGGCTGTGCAACTCTGTCTCTGGTATGTGAATCCTGTTTTGCTTTCAAGTTTACCAGAAAAATGCAAGAGCCTGACAATTGCCATAGATACAGTAGGCACTAATGTTCTTTCGGTTTCCAGACTGGGCTGAAGGAAGTGTCTTTGGAGGATTACGAAGGAAGTGAGAAGTATTGTCCAGACACAGCCTATGGTAAGCAAGCAGAGTTAAGCACAAAGGGCCACAGAGCCTTCTCTGGCCACATGCTGTATCTGTAGGAGAGGATGGTCTCTACCTACTGTTATAATGACTTCTTGGGCCACCGTGCTCCAGCATCTGCATTGGACTGGTGCAGGTCACTGCTGCCTGGAGAAGAACCTCTCCTGAAAGCAGGATGTTTCTTTATTACTGTGTGATAAAACATGAGGATGTGATTGATGTTTGTCAGCTGCCTTTTGCTTTGAAGAAGGATGAGAGCCAGATACATTTCTGAGGTAGGACATGGAACAAGCAGGGCAGGAGTACTGAAGAAAGTAGGGAGCAAATGAGGGATGCTCTGGAAAGATGGAGTCGGAAAGCATATTGACTGGGATGCTTTCCAACAGAAATGCAGCTTGCAGAGAGATACTGAGCATCACTGACAGTATCAAACTCTCTGCTAGACCCAAAGTGTGCATGTTTCCTCTGCTTCAGAACCCCCACGCTGTACCGAGCAGTTCCTCAGCCGTGCTGCTGGCCTGGTGGGCAATGGTTCCTCCAGATGGCTGTGTCTGGTCCCCACCCTGTAAGCAACTGACTTCAAACCCCTAATGGCCACTCGTGTTTGAGGAGGGCAGCTCTGCAGAGGCTGTTTTGTGCCCAAGGAGAGCTCTGTTTACACGAATCTTCCATATCGCTGTAACCTTCCACTATCGTGTGGCAGATGGAATAATGATTCATGCTGTGAATGTTCTCTGCGTGTTCCTCTTGCGCGCCTGCTGTCTTCTGCTTGGTTTGATCCCATTACATTAGATCACATGTTCTCTGTAGTTTTCCATTGTATTCTTTTCTCCCTTTTCCCCCCTTAACGCTCTGTGTAGTTTCTTTGCTCTGGCAGCCAGATTTCTCTCTGAATATCAACCACAGCCATTCCATGGTAAGACGAGATATTCAGCAAGTCATCTTGCAAATCCCTGATTAACAGAAGCAAAGCTTTCCACCTCTCCTTCTTTACTCCCATCCCCCTTCTCTTTTAACATGCTTTCATTATTTGAGTTCCATTCAATGTGATCTGTGATTTCCCTTCCCCTCCCGTTTCGCAGGCCTGGATTTTCTGGTCCCCGTCGCAGGTTACCTCTGCAGGCTGTGTCACAAATTCTACCATAGCGACTCCGCTGCCCGGCTCGCACACTGCAAGTCCCTGATGCATTTTGAGAACTTTCAGGTTAGACCCTTTGGCGATTGCATGGCCTGGCATTTGTTTCCCCCGTGCGTGTCTCTCCAGTGAATCCACCACGTTAGCTGTCTTGTCTCCAGCTCATTTCCATCATCCTTGGTGTCCATTATGCTGTAGCTTTCTCCCGGTGTGCTCTGTCTTTGTCTCCCTTGGCCCTTGTAGATCTAAAACCAGTTAAGTCCTGCTTCCCAGCTACTGCTGCTGTCATCTTTTTGCCTGTTTCTGGCTGGGAATCTTCCTCAGAGTGTCCGCTCTGTTTGCTGAACCTGTGGAGTCTGTCATTTAGTCTAGGCCTCTTCTCTGTTAGATTACAGGTTGGTCAAGGTGGGATGGAGCAGGAGAGAGAGGCTGTTCCTTGTAAAGAAAGCTGGTGTATACGCATCTCCAGGTGTGATACTGCAAGAACAGCTCCTTTAGCCAAAAGCGTGGGTGTGATTCATCCAGGAAGAGGCCTGGTAAAATCAGATACCTCAGAAATCTGAAAATTTAACATTACAGACTCTTTATGTGATAGAATCTAGAAGCTGGTGAGAGTCCATTTGTCCCCAGGGTCAGCCTGCAAGAGGAAGTCTGTCTGTCTATCCGTCTGTCTCTCTCTTGTCTGCTGCCCTTTCCTAGAAACTCCTTAGCACAAAGCTCTGCAAACTGATGCTGTTCCTTTGCTTTTCTGGCTCCACCTAAAGAAGCCGTATTGCCCCTTGCTGCTTTCGTATCTAAAGCTTTTCCTACTGGGCTGGCCTGGAATCTGCCTCCGTTGTTCTGTCCTTGTTGACTTGCCAGGGGGTAAGGGGCCTGGATTAGTGCTTGTGGAGGGTACACAGGACTTGCACTGTTTCTGCCCTATCCCGTGACCACTGCCTGGGCCCTCCTGTATGGGAGAGCTCTATTCCCTGTCCTTGGCAAGGAGGGAGGCTCCCACATCGACTTGGTCCTCTGGCTGCACCCACAATGTACTCCCAAAAACTGCTGTGCTTCCCTACCACCCTTTTAAATAGTGTTTAAAAAAAAAACCCAAACACACATACACACACCCTAACCCCAAAATTTCATGGTTTTCTTCTAGTCTTCAGACAGAAGAAACTATTCCCAGTCGGCCACCACTGCCTTCAGGAAGGGGTGGAGTGCTTTAGAATTCTGCCAGCATTCAGAGCAGTGGATTTGGAATGGGAGGAGACCACAGCTGTTCATGGTTGCTCATCCTCTCCCACTCCTGCAGCTAGTCATTTCAGGAATGAAGGAATTGGACTTGTTTTCCTGGCTTGTTTTAGATCAGCATAGAGTGAAACTGTAGCAGCAGCCACTTATGTCACTCTTTTGGCCCACTTAGAGCTGAAATCAGATGCTCTTCAAATGCATGCCAGAATGACCTGGGGAGTTCATGAGAAGAGTCCAGACTTGCATGTTTGCAGGCAGATAACTATTGTTCTTGCCTGCCTGGGTGCCTTGAGGTTGTCACAGTCTGAGTTAAATCACTGCCAGTTGCTGGGATATTCTCAGCAAAGTAGCTCAGCAGAGGTTTTCAAAGCAGAGAATTGTGTGCTGTTGAGACAATTTACAGCATCACTCTGGACACCAGTTTGCATGCCTGCACCTGCTTAGGTTTGGGTACAGTACGACTCGACTGATCCAATTCCAGTGCGATGTGATACTGTTCACATCCCACGATTTGAGGAGAGGAAGAACAAGCCTGCAGTGATAAACTGAATTACAATGTAAAGCTGCCTGTCAGATGTCCTGTAATTGCACATTGCAGACCAGTGAAAGGCATTGTGCTCGAAATTGTTTCCTTAAATTGTCAGGTGTAATGCTAGTGCCAGTTCAGAGAACCCTTTAGCAGGCAGCTGAAAGGGACTTGATTATGCACTTGATTATGAAGGGAAAGAATGAACTTCAGTTTGTTCCTTTAGGTCATGATCTCTCTGGGCATTGAAGACGGGGTTCCTGCTATGTGTTAGCTAGCTACAGTGAGCTGTTTTCCCAAAATCCAGTTTGGAACATGCGTAGTAGCCATTTTAATCTCTTTACAGACCTCTGCTGGTTCATCATGATAGTGAGTGCAAATGAGTCATTTTATTGATTATATGCTTACCTTTACTCTGTGGAAAATCCCAGTGACTTGTAACGAGATAGATTGAATATGATATCGTAGCCTTCCTGTCAACAGTTCCACTGACCGTGCAGATTTTATCAACGAGTGAAGAAGTACAAAGCTTTCAGCTTAAGCCTTGCTTTGGCTGATAAACATTAAATCACACCAGTAGCTGAGGGCTGTGCAGAGCCTCACATGCCCAGGGTATGTGTCCTGGCACTAGCTGAAGCAGGAGCTGTCACTTGCACTGTTACATCTACAGAGTCCTGAGTCTGACTGACATTAATAGTTGCCAGATCATGATTTCTGTCTCAGGAACCACAAGTCTGCCATGCACTCGCTCAGCATTAAGTAATGTGAGAGGGACTTCAGTTTTTAATATAACTTTTCCTCACAGGAGCTGACCTTTCTCTGTTGAGAGCCACAGCAGCCAGGCCAGGAGCTGCTGAGATCACTTGTGCCCCTGCCACTCACCACTGTTTTTGTACAGGTGTTCCTGGACCAGCTGCTGCTTTGCTGCAGTGACAGGAGCTGAGCTGGGCTTCTCTCTCACGTTGATTTGTTTGTATTTGCAGAGATACAAGGCAGCAAGGCATCGTGCCACAACTGCCTACCCCGAGGCTCCTTTGCATTCCCAGGGCTCCAGCTCCCAATTGCTGGATGATCCAAAACAGCCTCTTGCTACAGCAGCACATACCAGCAAGAAGATGAATGATGATCATGGGATAGATAAGGAGGGCACAGAGCTGCCAGCCCTGCAAGAACAAACTTCAAGGTCTCTGGAGGGTAAGGGTGAGCTGGCCACCTCTAGGCCAGAGGGCAAGAGCCTGGCCAGTGTGACTGACGATGTGTGTGGTATCATGGTTGTAGAAGAAGAAAGTCTCCAGGAAGAGAACAAGTCCACTGCCACTAGTGCCGACTGCCTGTTCTCTGAGGAGAGCCACCCCCCAGGGGAGTCACTGGGACCTGAGGAAGAAGCCAACACAGCCAGGCAGAGGGCGGGCACAGACGACCACCAGGATCCAGGGAGTGGAGGAGGCTTAGGACAGGAGGAGGCAGCAGATGCAGGCCAGGAGGCAGCAGCAGAGCCTTCCTCCCTCGCCAAAGGTGAGACAGCTGGTCTCACCTCTGCTGGGTGCAGACGCTCTTCCAGGCGCAAACCCAGATAGAGTGGCCTTAAAGGAGAGCCCTTTACATATGATATTTGCTGGAAATGTTTATTTTCTGAGTCTTTTAATAGAGCAAAACCTTCAACTTTACTGCTGTTTTTATTTTAAGAATAAATAAGCCTGGCTTTAGCGTGTCTAATACAGGATAGTGTTGCTTATTACTTGTACAGTTGGGATACAGCAGTTACGTGGAAAGACTGAGGTTTGGATTGTTGAACCTGAAAGAAGATGGTAATGGGATTTCCATAGGGGACAAACTTCACGGAGTGATGGATGCAGACTTAAGAATTCTTTGTAGTTCCTCTCATTTCCTTTCCAGGCAGAGAAAGTGTTTATCTCTTGAGAGACTCCGCTGAATTCTGCTTTTCAGCACACTTTCCTTCCTAAGACACACTGTTGGACAAGCAGTCTTGGACAAGTCCTAAGCTAGGCAAAAACATGCACCTTGGTCCTTTGTTAATACTACAAGGCTTAATCCAATTTGTTCTCATAGCGGAGACTCTCAGGAACAAAGTTTGTTTCAAACTGATTTTAATAAAACACATTTCTTTTAAATAACCTCTTTAACTTTCCAAAAAACTCCTTTGACTTTACAGAAGTAGAACAGTAGACTTCTTCAAAAGTGCTGGCTCTAGGACATACTGACAAGATGACAAAGTACAGACCAGACCTCTTGTGCCTTGTGAGAATGTACAGGGAGGGCTCTGCTTTCTATTGCTGACACTGTGGTGGGGGCTGGCCAGGCTGCTCTGCCTCTGCACACCTCGGTCCTTAATGGCAGCTGAAGCAGTGGGGCAGCTCCCAGTTACAATGGTCAGAAACATCACTCTGGTAGCTTGTCTTATCTGCTTGGAATGAATGGAGTGGAAGTGTCCAGTGATCTGGAACCATGTGCCCATATTTTGTACATCACAGTTAATGTGACTAAGGGAGAAGAAGCTGTAGCTTCAAGGCCCAGGCCCTCCCTCTCCAGGGCTGTCATCAAAGTTACACTTAGGGACAAGCCTGGAGTCAGGACAGCCCCTGCCAAAAGGGGTAAAGCCATAATACTCCTTGCTTGGATTTAAGGAAAAGAGAGCAGAGGTAATTTTTCCACTTTGTGAAGAGGGCCTGTCTGCAAACTACCTCCATGGGCTCAGGTTTCCTACAACCAGCTTTAACCAGGTGGGAGTGCCAAGCTCATGTTGGGGAGCAGAAAGACCCAGCTCTCCAACACCCACCCTTGTGCTTCTGCACCTGTCTCACAGCTAAAGGAAAACAACATGGAAATGAATGGCAGGATACAAACACAGAAAGGAACAAGTAACAGACATGAGGCACCTCTGCTATTCAAGTTCTACATTAAATTGGTGACCAGTAACTGTCCCCTTAGCAACACCAGCTGAGAGTGTGGTCAGACTCTAGGCAGGAGGCTGGGATCCCTGCACATCAGCTCCTGTGTTCAGCTGCTTGCTCTGCTGCTGGAACTCCAGCCGGGTCTGGCGGTTGGACTCCAGCAGTTCCTTCAAGCAGACGTGAAGGTGATCATTCTTCTCCTCCAGGTGATCCAAGCAGGAGTTGATCTGGTCCAGCATGGAGTTTATTGCTGCATATTCTAAAAGCAAGGGAAATGAGAGACTGAACAATGTAAGTACAAGGTCACTGCAGTCAGAGCAGGCAGTGAGAGCTCTGGCAAAACATGCCCACAGCATTTTGGCTGTGTCTTATTTGCCCCTGGGTGGGTGAACTAAAATGCAACAGCATCCTGCATGCTCTGTTGCCTGATCAAATCAGGCCAATGAAAAGCTGGAACACTAGTAACAAGATCTAAGGCAAGGTACCTGGGCAGTCCAAACAATTGTGGGCACATGTGACAGCCTCAGGTCTCACACACAAACAGCCAGCCATAGGCTGAGTGCTGACTGCAACAGTACCAGATACATCCCAAAGACAAGGCAGCCCTTTTAGCTGCCTTTGGAATCACCTTTCCTGACAGTACAGACACTTTGTCAGCATGTTGTAGGGTTTATTTTCCATGAACTGGGTAAGGCTTCCAGGCTGGCATGTGCTTCACTCAGGCCTGGCTGGAGTCAGGCTGCCACAGCAGTGCAGCCAGCATGGCTGTGGCAGGAGGGCATGAGCCCAAAGGTGCTGGTAGTGGCACCATTATTTCCACAGAAGGTAAGTGTTGGGCACTGAGTTCAGCCACAGGGTTTTCATGCTCTGTTAAGGCTTTGGGTACTTCAGATTAAACCTAGACTCACTGCAGACAATCCTGGCACTTGGTTCTCTAGGTAGAGTTTCTTATTCACAGCATTGTTTCAAGTGCAGCAGTTTGCCATTTCACAGTGGTGTGTGTCAGCACTGTTACCCAGCTGAAGAATGCTGTGCTTCTGCAACACTTGCTTTTGGCTTGCTCCAAGCAATATTCACACAATCCTGAAGAACAAAATCCAAACTGAAAAACCAGACAAACTGCTGAGGTTATTCATGACCCCTGGGGAGCTGCAGGGGACCCCAGATGGAGCCAGTCCCATGTTCCTTCCTGAAGGCACACAGCTGGGCGAGTGCAGGGAGGCAGAGCTGGAGCTGTGACCTGTGGGCTGATGTCTGTGAGGATCAGGGGCTGCAGGACAGGGAAGGATGCTCATGGGCTGGGGCTGGCTCCTCTCCAGGCAGCTCCTCTGAGCCCAGGGGGATACTCACAGTGCCTGGAACACCGGGCTGAGCTGAAGGGTGTGGGGAGGGGAGGGAGGATGAGGATGGGCACCCCAGGAGGGTCAGGCTGTGCTGAAATCGTCCAGACCAGCTCTGCCCCTCTCAGCTGTCCCTTTGCCAGGGTGTCCTGGTGCCCCAGCACACCAGGTACAGGCACTGCCATTTCCAGCAGCTTTGAAAGAACAGAATATTTAAACATTGATGTCATTTGCATTATTAATAGCTAAGAAGTTTCATTATGAAAAAATAATTATCCTCCTTTTCTTATAACCACTTTGGAGCTGTTCAGAGTGTTGCAGCCTTTAATTCTTTGGAGAATTGTGTAATGTTGCATTTGAGCTCATTAATAAAACTTTGGCCTTGTAGGTATTCATAGATGTGGCATTATGAGCAAGAGCACTGATGATGTTCTTGCATTTAAAAATCAATCCCACAAACACATGCTTTCCAGAAAGGTGGCAGATATCAGTATTGTTCAAGGTACATGAGTTACAGCTCTTCAGTTTGGTGCACCAAATTCCAATTAAATGGTGAGCAGATCCCAGGCAGACATGGTAACTACTTCTGGCAAGAAGTCTGTAATCACAGCAGAAACTTAATTTTCTCCACACCTAAAACTCAAATGAACATTGTAGAATTTTTTTCAGCTTTGGGAAATGAAAAAAATTTAAATATTTTAAAATAAGCTGGAAAAATCTTTGATTATTTTCCATTTGTTGTGAGCTTGGTGGATTTTTGTGGAAATATAACTACGTCCCTGTTGGAAACACTGAGCAAGAGCATGGCAATTGCCTTAATTCCTCTACATTCTTACAAGAATAGTTGACAAAAATCAGGTTTCGTACTTGAGATGAAAGAAGAGATCCACAGCCTCAGCCCCACCAGACCAGGAAATAGCAGCAGCCCTTAATGACCAGCTACTGCACACAAAGCCCGGTTAATTACAAGTTGAACAACCCAATTAGTTAGGATGTAGATCCAATTTAGTGACTTTCTCCATCATTCCAATGTGTCTCTTAGCTCTTCCAAAAAATGAAATACAAATCACTGTGATGATGCAAAGCAGTGAACACACTTGGGGTGTGCAGAAATGATTGTCCTGTCAGCAGCTAGATCCCAGACAACTCCTAAAATCACCTGTGTGGGTCACATCTGGGAACAGAATATTTTGGGAAACAGCAGAACCCAACTCCAGCACTTTCAACAGAAGAGTAGCAAATTGCTTACTCTGAAAGAATTCCAGTTTTGAGTGACCTCTACGTGCACATTACTGCTCTGCTGTCGTGTCGCTTTCTCCACGGGCTGGTTCTAACCGGACAGGGCATATCGGAATTGGCATACCCAAGGGCACACCCAGGCACTGCAGAAATGCCCCGAAGTGGAATTTGCCGAGATTAAATTCCCTTTTCCATGCATGACAACTTCTCCCAGATCTGCCCACGTGATCTGCCCTGTGGTTTCGAAACCTGAACATCCTCTTCCCTGACATCCGCACCCCGTACCCCAACAATGGCACAAAATTTTTTCACAAGAAAAAAAATCCATCCCAGGGCAACGCATAAGGTGTCAGTGCTCCATGGCGGGGTGGAAATCAAGCCCTGCATCCCCTCAGCCGCACTGCCGTGCAGCGGGTGCTTGGCTGGCACTGGGCACCGCTCCTGGCAGAACATCTGGGCACACCTGGGCACACCGGCGCTCTGCCACCCGCAGCCCAGGGCACCGGGCCAGGCCATCCTGCGCCACGGGACCCCCTCCGAGATGGCGGCCCCGCTCTCCCCCACGCACCTTCCTCCTCGAAGGTGTCCCCGCCCTCGTCGCCCTCGTCGCCGGCGCCGCCGCCCAGCACGTGCGGGTCCCCGTTGGGCCCCGACATCCCGCCGCGCCCGCCCGCGCCGCGCCGCCGCCCGCAGGGCGCCCTGCGCGTCACGCAGGCCGGCGCTGCGGAGAGCTCCGTGGTTAGCGCGGCGGGCGCGGGGCGCAGGCGCGCGGGCGGGCGGCCCCGGGGGTCAGCGCCGCGTTCCCCGTTCTTCGGGGATTTTTCCCAAACGCGTGCCCAGCGCTGGGCTGTGTCCTTGCCCATCCCAAGTGTCCTCAGGTCCTCCTGAACTCCCCTGCTCAGGGGCCGCCATCGGCACTAAGCGCTTATTTCCCAACACAAATGATGTTCTGTATAAATCTGCATTCTGTCCCTGCGGGCCATCCCGTCCCCACTAGGGCTTTGCTGCTGAGCTCCCAACTCCAGCCCTGTCTCCAGCTCTGCTTCGTCCACTAAGCGGCTGGAACCAGCCTCAGGTCACCTTCACACTCCTCTTCCCTAAATCAACAAGCACGACTCACTTTGCCCTTCCCTGTCTTTGGCCCGGTATCAGCCGCACCTCAGTCACCTTGAGGAGATCTCATCGCTGTGTGGGGCTTTCATCCCCGGGAGAGAAGACACTGGGATGAAAATAACCCACAATTAGAGCATTGATTCAAGCAGTGCTCCTGAGATCGAGGATTCTGTTATTAACTCGGTATTTGGGACAAAGACAAAAGAAAAGGTCATATTCTCGTTTAATGTTGCAGCCACCTCTCCATTCTGTGGGTGATAACCCTGCTGTGCTGCAGAGTCAGGCTTGTGTTGCACTCCAAATAGGGATATTCAATATAAGTGTAATGAATGGATATAACCACATGTTAATAAAACAGATGATGACTTTCAGTGTGGAGATGTGCACTTGCATTGTGTGTATGTGCTGGTCAGACTCCACAGCCCCACCGGGCAGAGAACCACGGAATCCCAGAAGGGGTCAGGATGGAAGAGATAACACTGGATCATCTTCACCTTCCTGCTCAAGCAGGATCACCCCAGCCCACAC